TTCTCTCCATTTAATTCAATGAGCATCGTCTTTGCTTCAATGGCAGTGTTCGGAAAGGTGGTGGTGCCAACTGCAAAACAAAGGTTTTATAGGAATCTTTCTATACGTGTTCCTTTTCATACAAATAGAACGAATCATTATCCACTGTAGTGCGGCGCTGAATAGCATTGGCGATATAGTCGCCTTGTTGAATCCTTTTTTGGGCATGGTGAGGGACCGATGGAAAAGGTATATGTATTTGCTGAAATTTTGACAAAAGTCGGTTATTGCTCATTATCAGATGGATCTACATTTTCTTTCCAAGCGTCTTCTTGCAATCAGTAAAGATGAGAAAAAGGAACATACGGTATCCTTAACAGACTTTACTGAAACGTAAGAAAGTCTCGATGTGATCCTTATAACAGAATCTTTTTGGGAATCGAGTCTGCTCAATTGGCAGTGCCTCATCCGGGGTCTTTGATGTGGACGGAAAAGATGAATATCGTCGAAACTTTCAGAGTATACTCAATAAGTTTTTTAATGGTAATTCAAAAGATCGACTGTTTTTGAAACCCCAAAAAACATTCAATATAATTCCAAAAAAGAATGATTTAAGCTCAAAAAGGGTTGGTACGCCAGGGTCATACACCGGTGTTTCGGAGGTTCGTCCTCCTCATCAGTGACCCCCGTCCCACATTCAGCTCTGCATTGAAGCAAGGAAGGAGGCGTATGTGGTGATGGCACAGTGTATTATAAAACTGTACCATCACCACCTCTCAGTCGATAGATTTTGCTGTTAGATGGAGATAAAATATCAGCCAGCTAGCAATCGAGTGCGAAAATACTTTTGTTAGGTGAAAATTTCGCTTGACATAGAGTATAAAACGTACGTCGTCGACAACTCTCTATAAGGAGTGTAACGCACCCGAGAGAAACTGACTATAAAAAGATCGACAAACGACGGGTTCTGCCCGGCTGATGAGTCTGTAAGGGCGAAACACGTGTCTCGGGCTGTACAAGAGCCCTTACCAGACCACATGACATGTTGGCTCAAATAATAATGAAAGGATCTATTGAAGTTTGAGCGTGGTCTTGATAAAGCACTCGAAGGAAAGGTATAATTATGAGATATGTTTAATTTTGAGCGTGCTCTTGAGAAAACACTCAAAACAAGCGATCCAATATTTAAAATTACCATCCAAAAGCAATAGAGTGTCAAACACTGCAGTTTTAGTGATTTATTTCACTTGACGGCAATTGTGTAAATCGTTCGTCGTCACCTGCTCGTTATAGGAGGACGTAGAGGTCCCGAGAGGATTAGCTATAGGCGAAGGGCCTTCCCTACTGACGAGGCTGCAAGGCCAAAAAACACATCTATCGGGGTGTACAAGATCCCATAAACAGACCAATTTAGATGTGGGCTCTACTAATTATGAAATACACAGAAAAATCTCTAACGGATTACGATGTGCAGAAAGAGGCAAGAACTTATGGGAATTGAAGAGCAATAACCGTCAATCACTTTAGGATACCCTATAAATTCGGCATAAGTATGCAGGCAGAATGCATTTATATGACCGTCAGTCGCGCGAGCCTATTAATGTATCCAGACGAATTTAGTTTTTGATCGCTATCAATTTTCACCCCCAAAAGGTGGGTGGCGTTGCTAAAAATGAGAGCAAGATGAAACTAACGGCCTTAAGAACTTAAACTCACCGCTAACTACAAATTCAACAGATTCTGTCAACTGCCAGATAGGTAATATCCAAGATTTTTTATAAGGTTCTGGAGGACAGTTTTTCGAACGCTCATAAAAACACTGGCATGTCCTGCAGAATTGAGCATAGTTCACGAGGTTAATACACAAATTTTACTCGCCTAATGTTTCGACGAATTTCAATTCCTTCAACGCCGATGATTTGATAATTTGCCTACCGTCGTTCGTTGTCGCTGTGGTCTTCGACTTCCGACAATTCGAAGAGGATTCGACTCGATGGCAATGAGGACGAGGATTACAAGGAGAACGAATTAATGTGGGCAGTGGACTCGAATAATCTAAAGAACATGAACGTATCGAAATGTTAGGGAACAACGTTCATTCTTATTAGGTGTTGGCAAAGCAAAAACCGAGTTCATTTGCTATAAAGAAACTTTTCTTGGGACAGTTATTAACCACTCGAAAGCTGGCACGTGTGGCTACACCCCCACGTCGCCGGTTTTCAAGAAAGACTTTTTTGACGGTGTGGATAAGCGCACCAGCCACCAGTTCGGTCCACGAACAGGCCAATCAAAAGCCAATTTTTTGCAACGGGAGATTTGTGATAGTTCTGGCAGCGAGAAACTCTGATCGATACAGGATTTTGCAAAAAAAAATTAGGATCTCGGGAAGTAGCAACTCACTAACATTCATTGGCCATACACAAAAAAAATCTGAAGCAGGAGATGTCAGAGTTGTGTTAGACCACTGACGGTCCTTTGGAGCGTAAGCGGACGTTTGAGGTGGCTGCAGTGGTTGCAAGTGCTCTTCAGTGCACGATTACAGATTCGATCTCACGTTGTGATTACACTAACGTTTCATCCCTCTAAGTTACGGAAAAAGTGTGTGCGTGTGTGCGTGTGTGCGTGTGTGCGTGTGTGTGTGTGTGTGTGGTGTGTGTGTGTGTGTGTGTGTGTGTGTGTGTGTGTTTGTGTGTGTATGTGTGTGTGTGTGTGTGTGTGTGTGTGTATGTGTGTGTTTGTGTGTGTATGTGTGTGTGTGTGTGTGTGTGTATTGACGAATCTCCTTCTCGGCACATATTTGATCCAAAGAAAAACGCTCTAGTACTTTTCACCTTCGTTGACATCTAACCTCAACCAAAGTGTGACCGCGCAAAAATTCCTTGGTTTCAATCTGGAAGTTCAAAATTATATTTATATCTCAAACATATCTCCTTACATCACAAAAAAACCGTAGATCAACTACTAACGAGTTGCATAATTTTCTCTTTAGAAAAGAGAACTATCTAAATGTGTCTTACCTATAAAACACAACGTTGTATAGTTCATTACATAAGCAGCAGAAATTATGCTGAATATCCGAGATCCACGCTAACATTAAAAAGGGAGCAACGATTGCTATGGTCACTCGATACGCCAGCTTAAACAGTGCAAGGTTTAGTCACAATAAAACATTACTAGTTCAATCGAAATTTATTTATTTGACCGCTTTTTTGCGGTGGTATAATTTTGTAATATACCCAATAATGTGCAGTGCTGTGCAAAAACATTTGCGTCAGCCGAAATTCGAACCCTGATCTCACTCTTTCCGGGAGCATATACTAACCATTGCACCACGACGCATTATTGGGTATATTACTGGTTCGAGCTGTAAGTCGAGAAAAACATGTAAGCACTATAGAATACTGTCGATGTGAGGAATCTCAAGCTCCAGCATAGGATAGTATTGATCTTTATGTGCACCTTCAGCAGTGGCCACAAAATCGTGACACATCGAGAACCACAGTTCTGTAGAGCTAAAACAGATATGAATAACATAAAAACTACAAATCCTTCTTACTCATGATTATATTCCGAATATAGTATGGACGTGTTTAGGTTCAAAACAACACCAAGAATGCTGCATATTTATTTGAAGTGGCATTAATTCCGGAATGGAACGCCTTTTCGTGACATAGCAGATAACCCACGTTCTAACAGATGGCCTCAGTAATTCCAATGTGGCGGACTCCTGCGGCATATTTTCCTACGAATTACGAAGCGACAATTTTTCAATTTATAGGAGATGCTCGTTGGATTTGTCAGATTTAAATATAGCAGGCAAGTGCATATCATCATGAATGTGGATTTGCATCACTGGTAGCTGAACTTCGTAGCCACCTTCGAATTCTAAGACCAACTCGGAACACAGTTCGTTACGGTCTTCTTCATCTTTTTCTCCAAGAAAAATGTGATAACTCCACATCAGAGTAGTAACTTTTAGGGCATAATGGAGCAGCGAAGTTAATTAACACATACTATTTTCTATGACAGGAGCGAGAAGACTTTCACACTTCTAAAAGAACATGATTCTTCGAGAGGTCACATGGAACCCAAAAAAACGCTTTGGTTCTTTAGGTCACCTTGCCTGAACTGGTGGTGAATTTTGTTGATTGCAATGAAGTTTTGATTACAATCTGAAGAGCTTGCTAATCCACCACGACAGATTTTAGAACGATATTTTCCTCAGACATATATCTCTCCTTCTTTATTGCTAAATATTTATATCTAAAAGAAAGCAAGCGAGCGAGCCGGAGTTCGCACAAAGTCATACACTGACGCTCTTCAATAGATTGCTTACTCTTGTGACCTCTGCATTTTAATTAAAAATTTCCTTATAACTTTGGATTTTTTACCTCTGAAAGTTTTTGTATCAAACATTTGGATTCAAGCTAAGAATAACCTGACGTACTACATCATGGGTTCAATATGTGTGATTATACGGCGCTGAAAATTGAAACTAGTAGATCGGACGATCACTTAGTCGGACGTCGCTGCAATTATACAAAAGCACTAGCGACTACCGATCATAAAGACTAGGAAATTTTAGGAGTAAGTCAGTTTTTGCGGAAGACACCACCTATCTTGTGTCCTGGCCTTTTCAACCTAAAAAAACACATGTTAGCGTCAGAACAATGTTGTCCTGGTGCTTCCTGAGCAAAAATACGGTCTCGGTATCGATGCATTATCCAGTAGCCAGTACAAACGAATCTGTGGCCAACAACTTTCTATTGTGCTTAGACAACGACCTTGAAAGATGATATCAATTTACCAATAGTGCCGACTGAAGCACAATAAAATCAGACGGAAATGCCGGAAATTACATAATGAAGATATATTACATTTATTCGCTTAATGAAAGGCATAGATCAATCTATGATCCATAACGATGACGAAAAATCAATCAAAATCGGTGTCTCTTCAATGGTGTTGAGTGGTGTGCAAGACTTCGACATTGTAGCATAGGAGGAGTGATTGCAAAACAGACTTCAGTAGTGCAGATGGTTGAGCACGCACCCCCGGAAAGGGTGAAATGCAGGTTTGATTCTCGCCTGATGTTAAAATCTTACGAACCACCCAACACCATTGGATATACCTGTAACATCTCACATCCGCTAAGAGCGGGTAAATAAAAAATATTCTGTTTGGTCATAATCGGTGATTCTTTTGTCAAAGGTAAAGGAGAGGTATATAGGCGCTAAGTGAACATCAAAAAAACGAAAGAAAAGATGTACAGAAGAGAAAAACGTGTGCAGTATGGAACTATAGAAAAGCCGCTCTTCAACTGATGAAGCAGAAACGCTTGTTTAATTTTTCAACTCAGTATTTCCTTCAACGTTTACTAGCCACTCAAACATGTCAAAAATTCTCCAAACCTCCATAAATCACATGAATGATGGTTTACAAAATATACTCAATACATTCGATGCTAATCCGGGCTACAAATTATATCGTTGAAGACTATCTCGCCCTTGTGATCTAAAGAGATGCACATCGAAGGCGAAATACTAATGTGCACGTCGTACAGTGAGTAGGATTGACGAAATATGGGTAGTAGTGGTGAGATCGACAAGAGAGACCATAACAGGATTCAACGCACGTTTTAAAATGGTAACAAAAATAACGACGCTTCTGTCTTCCACGTCGAGTGACAACTCTCGCAACTCCATACTATCCATAAGGCTCAGAGTGGCAACCGTCGGTAATCGTGAGTGTTTGTGGTGAAATCACCATTAGTGAACGACTGTGTCAAAATGAAGGCACGGACAAAGAATGTGCTGGAGTCGCCACGACCCAACAAGATGAGTTATGCAACCAAAATATGCTTTACTTTGGTTGATAGAATCACCTGAAATACAGTGAACATCTGAATTCTTCCTTTCTTGTCAGATCGGTCTTCTTCCCAGATGACAATCGCGCTGAAGTGCTTCAAAATTTGCAAAAAAAAATCCGTAATTCATAAAGCATGATTTTGCTACATGGCCTAAACCTATTTTCGTTCTGAACTAATCAACGCGAGCAACGAGTACCTTTTTATACCTTATAGTCAAACCCACTGGATCATTTTCTGGCTTATCACAGTCTTTTGTCAATAAGCCCATATGCAAACAAAAAAAAAACTGGTAAAACAATAGTGTGCAAGAAATTATGGCATGACACATAGAAACCAAGCTTAGCTTTAGAGTTTCTTTGGCGCCTGAGAGTCACATTGACTAGTAGCATGTTCAAATGAGCACTTCCGAAGGTGGACCTTCAAAAACACTAAATGCCGAGTGATCAAATTATGTGCAGTGTCAAACAGATTTCTAGAGAACGTTCGCAATCAGAAAAGGCATTATTCATACTGGTATAAGTAGGTGACACCCATCGGAAACAGTTGGGAGGACGAGGAGATCTTGCTCTACTAATAGGCGATCACAGCAACTTGTGCGTGATTAGAGCAATGTTGCTTGAAGAGATGGGATCCTCCATGGGTGCAGGAAATCGTCAATTGAATCCAACTGAGAGGGTCCCCGTCAAGAACTCAAGGCCAATACGTATGACCATTGGCAGAGGCTGCAACGGTAAATAGACTCAAATTGAAGTAAAAGTAGATAATAAAAGGTGATTATCCAAAGATCGATAGAAGAAAGCCTGTTCTTTGACTCTTCAACATTCTAACTCGCTGGAAGTGAAAGATTATTTGGAATTATAGATATCCGACATCGCATACACTGTGCAATATCACTGCTAATTTATTGCGTCCTAACTTTTGATCGGTATAGTAACCCCTGTGCACAGCATGGGCTAAGAGGTTATTAGATCTAAATTGTGTAAATAAAAAAAGCAAATAAAAAAGCAAGGTAAGTGTTATTGAAGTGACAAATATAAACAAGAGAATAAAAGTTTACCAACAGTGAGAAATGTGATTATTTGATTCTCCACAAATATGTGGCGTTATAGAGAAAGCATCGGCATGCTTCCAGTATTCATAGTTTTACTGCGTTTTCCTCTCTTATTTTGCCAGTTACCAATATTAATACTACTTCTGTGTCAATAAAAACCCTAGTTTTATTTGGAATCACCATATAGCCACCAGACCACGCTGCATTCGCCATATGTAGCGCAGGGAATTCAAGGTCGCAGTCAGGGGTTGGGAATTTTTGCAGCAAACGTATCAATCGTTGAACTTAGATGTTATAGCAAAGCAAACTGAGAGAAAATCCTTGACAGATTTAACTTGCAATCTAGAAAATTTCTCTATTATATCATCTTCCTAGCAGTACTATGATGTTGTAACAATATATCGAACATCATTGAGCGATGTGCAAAACTCCGAACCCCACACGGGAGTTGGATTTCCTCACAGGAAACGCTGCTACCACTGCCCCAACGGGACTTACACTGAACCAAGGATCGTGCTGCAGCAGTGGCCTTGACGATGTAATAGTAGCAAGCTTTCTCGCCGTGGGTGGGACCTCAGTGCAACTCGCGCTTGAGGCTTAAAATTTTGCATATCACTCAAAATGACTAGATGTACGTTCAAAAAGACTTTCCTTGAATCTCGGCGTAACCAATCAAGCATACTTTCTTTGTTGATTGAGCCTCTAATACGAATTTTCACTAACATTTTTTTATCCGGCTGGCTTCCAACGTTTTTTCGTTTTGAAGATGACAACTTTTGCACTTAAGAAAACGCTATTTTTTGAAAAATTGCTATTCTGAAGCTCAAATTTGTTGATTTTAAGCGATAACCTGATACTTGAATGTCGCGAAAGTAATGAGACAAAATAAACCTTCTAGAACCTCCCACCTCAGCTCTTTTATAACGTTTTCGATCGGTTTTGCATCATAAAGTCGAGCGCTATCATGCAGAATATTGCAATGTTTGCGCCGTTTTCGTTTGCAATATTTTTGCGACAAAATTGCATGAATGTATTATTCTTCGATTGCCCATTTTCTTGCGAACATTTTGGTATGCAATTTGCTTGCACTTGCTCTAAGATGGAGCTCGTTCAAAATTCCATTGTTTTGTGCACCGCTTCACTAGCAATTTCTCCCACGCGACAATCGTCCATGAGTAGCCTGAAAATCGACACCTCCATATTGAAGCAAGTATATGCAAGTTTCAAGCCAAAATGTCTGGAAAGAAATGCGCACATGAATTTTGCTGAAACTAAACAATTCTATTTACTTTTGGCCAATAAATCCATTATCGGCCAAATATCGTAACATTGTTCCTACTGGAGAACACTGTTTCCTTTTCCACTTTTATTATGTGAGACTCTAATAAGATATAAAACATTGTTAATGTTATTTCAAGAGCAAAAATTTTCTAAGTCGTGATTAAGAAGGGAAGAGAATTTGTGAAGCTATGGATAAAGGGTAAGCGAATCTGTAAGTGAACGGCTCTGCTACAAGTTCTGAAGGCCGAAGAAACTCACTAGTTGAATATTGTCTTCCGCATGTCTTCCGGGCCTTAACAAATGCGGGAGGGTTTCTATTGGCCTATGACTTCGACGACTAATCGTTTGACAGTAGATATAATGGTTGGACTACTTGATTTCGAGTCTGCTTTACAACGGAACATAGGAGATAATAGGGGAGTTTTTGTGTATTTACTTGGTGTTAAATTTCCGCTTTCGAAGAAGTGCAGACATCAGAGTTTTTTTCGGTGACCGACGTTTACTAGTTTTTCTCATCCGCCTCTCACTTGACTCTTCACTTCTGCCGTTGCCAATGTCAGTCACCATTGAATGGCGACTTATAACACGAAACATTGTTTGTGTAGAAAAAATTCTCGTCCTGATAATAAAGCAATTTGGGTACCCAAATTAGTTCTCCATTATGGTTTCAAGGAAGCACTCAAAGAAATTCAAAGAAGAAATGCTGCGCGACGTTGAGTACGTTGGTATGAGTAGCTGTTATATTGGATTTTTATGTTAGACAGTAACAGAGAATATTCGATCTCATTTGCTCGACAAGAATTTTTCATATGAGTGTTAGCGAATTCGAAAGCTTAAATCTCTAGCAAAGCCATACGTGGCCTGTTTTTCAAAATACCCCTTCACAACGGTGCAAAATCCAAAATAAAATTATCTTTCACGCCATCCACGCGTTTTCTGCAATTATTATGAGGGCGTTGTAGTTGGAGTTACTCCGCTACTTTCACGTGGTCGATCAATAGATGGTTTGATGCAGCATTCAAAGCTCACCGAGCGTTAATCTGCGATCAATGAATTGGCATCATACTCGACTATCCTAAGCGCATCAGTTCTTTGTCGTTTTTCACCAGCCACAGATTTCATATTAAATTTCTAACAGTCATTCGTAGCTGAAGAAACAAGGATTCTAATATAGCTTTACTTAACAGAAAAGCTTTGCAATAAGCTCAAAAACACTTAGATCACTCTGATCTTCACGCTGTCAAACGAAACCTTTACGTGAGGATTTTGGTGATCACAGGACATCTTTCGCGAAACGACGAATCTGTCGTGGATTTCTTATTTGAAAAGCTTTTCTTATGGCGCAGTATGAGCGGAGAAAAAAATTTTTTGTGAAAAGAACTTACTTCAAGTCTCTTAATGTGTATTTTCATGGCCATTTTGGAATAGTGTTACTTAAGAGCACTTACTAGACACTGTAAGAATTTCAAAAGGAACTAATGTGGAGGTAATGCTAAGAGTCCTCATACATTTTAGCACAGAGCATTAAAAATCTGATTTATCACCCAAAATAAATCAAAAATGTTCAACAACCTTTCCAGACTATGCGCCATCAGCTTAAGCACATTTTTGCCATCTCTCAGGCAACCAATTAATACCGTTGTATGCGAAAATTCCTGAGCTCCCTTTTATTGCCAGATTTTCCGCACTTTTTGTATTATGGTCATTTTGCGAAGCATTTATCGTAGTTTGTTGCCTTAGGAGTGCGAATTGGGACGCGATGCACAGATCGACATATCAGTCATGCTAAGGCTCGAGGATTTTTGTCCAGGCGAACAGCACCTGAAGCGCTACCACGTCTACGTAGCCGTTATCCCATCCTGCTTTAAGAAACGCATACTTCCATCTTGCCAAA